CTATCCATCCATCCATCTATATATGCATCTATATATTCATACATATATAAAACATCCATCCATCCACTCACCCATCCATCCATTAAACCATCCATCCATCCATCCATCCATCTATAAACCATCCATTCATCCCTCCATCTATAAACCGTCCATCCATGTGTGCATCTATATATCCATCCATCTACAAAGCACCCATTCATCCGCTCATCCATCCGTCTATCTATAAACCATCCATTCATCCATCCATCCATTCATCCATCCATCCATTCATCCATCATTCATCCATCCATGTATGCATCTATATATCCATCCATCTACAAAGCACCCATTCATCCGCTCATCCATCCGTCTATCTATAAACCATCCATTCATCCCTCCATCTATAAACCGTCCATCCATGTGTGCATCTATGTATTCATCCATCTATAAACCATCCATTCATTCATCCATGCATGCATCCATCTATCCATGTGTGCATCCATATCTATAAACCATTCATCCATCCATGCATCCATCCATCCATCTACAAAGCACCCATTCATCCACTCATCCATCCGTCTATCTATAAACCATCCATTCATCCATCCATCCATCCATCCATCCATCTATAAACCATCCATCCATGTGTGCATCTATATATCCATCCATCTATAAACCAGCCATTCATCCATCCATCCATCCATCCATCCATCCATCCATCCATCTATAAACCATCCATCCATGTGTGCATCTATATATCCATCCATCTATAAACCATCCATTCATCCATCCATGCATGCATCTGTCTATCCATGTGTGCGTCCATATCTATAAACCATTCATCCATCCATGCATGCATGCATCCATCCATCCATCCATCCATCCACTGAGAGGCAGGGTAGCATGACGGTGCAGAGTGCACCTCAGGATACTGCCATAGGGTCTACCAAATGTCCATTGTCCTCTGTAATTGTCAGTCATTTTGCTATTGATTTGTGTGATCTTATGCAACCTCTCCCTGGGCCTCAGTTTTCTCAGCTGTAACCTGGGGATAGTAACACTTAAGTGTCTGTGAAGGTTATGCACAGCTGGTGAATTGCCAAGTCCAGGTGGACATCCACAGGCATACTCATGACTTTGGACTCAGAGGGATGTGGTGCTGGACAGTTTCTGTGTTCATAAGTGGATGTCCCTTTGCCTCCAAGCCATGGAACAGACAGTGTTTGAGAGTGTCACCCCTGCAGGTGGTGGCTCCTGCCCTGCTGCCCAGCTTTATGTACAGGAGCTCGGCCTTGTGCCCCATCCACCCTTTCCTGGGAGGGAAGAAGCCTCAGTCATCCGCTGCTGAGTTGAGAAGAAGAGGGGAGAGCTGACAGCTTCTGCGCCCCTCCCAATCCCCAGTAGTCGGGAGCTGCAGAAATAAATGGAACTGTACAGTTGGAGTAATTTGCTAATTTGCTTAAGTAACACCCCCAGTCAAAGACATGACATAAATACCTGAGCGCAGGCTCCACATCCCCAGCTTGGGTGGCAGGATGGATGGGTGATCCGAAGTGGAAATTCGGTGAATCAGAGCCGAAGGCAGTGATGGTGGCCACCCCCGACCTGAGCTGGGGGTTCTGGCTGCCTCCCTGCTGCAGTGTGTTTGGGGAGGGGCTCGGTGAGGGGCTGCACACTGACTCTGGGTCTGCTGGCCTTGGAGGAGTCTGAAGCACCCGTCCAGAGGTATGGGGTCAGCTGGACCAGCGTCCCCCTCCGCAGCGGTGGGGCCTGGGTGGGTTTCCCAGCCTTTGCGCCTCATTCTGCTCAGCTGCAAAGAGGAGATAATAGAACCAAGTACCTTGGGGGTGCTCTAGGGAAATGAGATCTCAGCTCTCCACCAGGGGTCCGGAAGTGGCCATCTTTCCTGCTGTGTCCTCCCCGGCCCACCGCCAGCTGCTCAGGCCCACGCAGTCCTCTTCCCTCCTCTCCGCAGCCTAAGCCTCGCTGGAGAGGGCTTCTCCATACCATGCCTGGTCGCACTGTGGGGCTGTGGGCGGCTTCATTCGCCAGACTCCTGCTGGGGCCTGCTAGGGACAGAGGTGGGGGAAGCAAACCCGCCTGCCTCCATGGTCTTGGAGCTCTCCCAAGAGCACAGCAAGCAGAGTTCCCAGCACTCCGGGGCCAGGGTGGGCTCTGATGAACAAGAGGAGGGTTGGGGAGGTGGAAGGGGCTTGGAGAATCTCATCCCAGCAGCCTGATTGGAAGAACCTCAGACCAGGGCCAGGCTGTTCCCTTCACATCCCCAGGGACAGAAACCCAAATGCCTGTTAGGAGTGGGCAGTACCTTCAAATGAATGAAGCGGACTAGGTGTGAGACGGTAGGGACAGGTGGGGACTGGGGCCAGCTGGAGGCATTCATCCTGTCCAAGGGGACACAGACACTCAGCACTTCCTGACTGGACCGGGATGGCCAGAGGTTAAATTGTATTTATTTCTTTATTTTTAGAAAACAGAAGTAATGAAGTGTTATTAGGAATGTCTCAGATTTTTGATGTTGGCAACAAGTTCAAGTTTAAAAAAAAAGTTGTGCCAAACAAAATATGTCTGTGGGTGGGTCTGGCCTGCCTGCTTCTAATTTGCAAACTCCGGCCCAGGGAAGCTCTTTGGTTTTTTTGAACATCAAAAGTTTTGTACATTGATTATCTTCTATAATATCAGAACAGTCCTGCAAGGTAGCCGTGACTTTTCTCATTTTACAGGTGAGGAAACTGAGGCACAGGGAAGCTAAGTCATACAGCTCGTTGGTGCCACAGTGGGTCTGGGATCTAGGCTGCTGGAGCTGAGATTCTGTGGCCCGCTATGCACCAGTGGCCCCCCGCCCTGGAGTTGATAAATCCTGAAGAAGAAAGAGCAGTGCTTTCTCAAACCTGTAAAGCAGTCTGGGGTGGTCGGTGAGTCAGCTATGAGTAGATTGGGATTTTCTTCCTGTTTTTTTTTATTTTTTATTTTTTATTTTTTTAATTTATTTATTTTTTTAAATTTATTTATTATTATTATACTTTAAGTTGTAGGGTACATGTGCATAACGTGCAGGTTTGTTACATATGTATACTTGTGCCATTTTCTTCCTGTTTTGCAGAAAACTTCTATCTCACCTCAGGGTTCCCTTTCTCACTGCCCTGGCCTACCTTCCCTGGCCAGGCTGGGAACTGGTCATTTGCCGTGGCCATAGGGCATGTGGTTAGACAGACGGCGTAGGTCTTATCTAGCTGGAAGTAGAGAAGAAGCTTATAAAGGGGCTGTGGACTCTTCTATTTCATTGCAATCAGGATATAATAATGGCTGTAGTTATAGGACATGCACCGCCGTAAACCTCACTCTGCCCTTCCCGGGAGCTCACATAAGGGATGGGGAGGCGAGCTCTTCCTAGAGTGCTTCCTGAGAGCTGAGTGTGATGGCACATCTTCTGAGTCTCAGCCCATATTGCGAGCATCCGTTTCCAATAAGAAAAACAATCCTTAGTATTTGGAGCAGAGGCATTTCTGGAGTTCGATTCCCCATGGAATGCTCACACAGCGGGAGAGGTAGAGGTTTTGGTCCTGCTGGAAAAGGCTCTGCTGTTCCTGGGCTGCTGTGTTGTCCCAGGGGACAGAGCACAGTGCCCATGCTGCTGGGCATTGCCCGGGAGGGTGAGGAGTGAAGGGGGTGTCAGGGAAGGGGCTCAGTGGAGCCTGATGGCCAGAGGAGTGTTCGAGCACCTTGCCTTGTGTGTGACTTAGCAGATGAAGGTCACGTTCTCCCAGGGATAGAGGGGATGCCTCACGAGGTGTCGGTCTGTTAGCCACAGTTACTGCTTTGTGAACTGGTTATGGAATGTTACCATTTTCCTGTCTGGGCCCCCATCTCCCCGAGGCCCCTGTGCTGTGCTGGTGCCTTCACATACTACTTGCCTGACCTACCAGGGCACTCTCTGCCCAGGAGGGGCTGGGAGAAAAGCTTGGGTCTCCAAGTGCACTTTCAACATTTCATTTTTTAACTAAATCAGGGCTTACAGGTACCATCTTGACTCTCCAGGCCCATGAGAGCCCAGCAGCTGAGGCTGGTGGGGACTGGGGAGTCAGGGGCCCGAGCCTGGGGTCAGGCTGGCTCTCAGATGGAGTAAGGGGCACAGGGGCGAGTGGTGTTTACTGAGACCGAAGAGCCGTGGTGGTCTTGTTCCTGTATAGAGCCAGTCTGGTGGGTGAAGCCTGCCAGGCAGCTGTCCAGAAACCAGCCCCAGCCAGTCGCCTGGGTGGCAGTGCACACTCCTGCCTAGGGCATCCATAAAACTGGACCCCAGAGAAAGATGTGTACCTTGGAGGAACTACCCAAAAGTTTGCACACGGCAAAGCTAGAATGACAGTTGTAATTCGGTGGCTGTATACATAGACGTTTTTGTTTTGATTCCATCTAGAGTGCGTTTTGGCTTTGAATTTCCATGGCAGTAGGGGTCGGCCCTATAATGTTTCCTGAGTGTGGGGTCTCCAAACCTTTGAACTGGGTTCTGCAAAGACTTTGTGATTCCTTTCGGAAAGTGGAGGATAGAGTCCCAGATACCCAGGGGGTAGGGGCCTGGGACCATGAGGCCGGTGACAGCTAGGACTGGGGGTGCAGGGTGAGGGGTCTTCTACCAGTAGACAACTAGTCCAGAAAGAAGAAACGGAGGCAGAGAAGTCCCAGGATAAGGCCAGGCACTCTGCAGCTTAGCGGCCTGGGAGGAACCTGTCCAGCCTCCTCCCGATGATCTCAGGGGCTGATGGCCAGTGGAGGCCTGGGCAGGCAGGACCATGGGGACAGTGATCCTCTGTCTGAGGATCTGTCTGAGTGATCCTCTGCTGCCTCCTCTGATCTGATGAAGACACCTGTTGGGGGCCTGGCAGCAGGTACTCTGTCAGCGATTCCAGCAGCTTCCTCCTGGCCGCCCCTCTCTCAGCTGTGCTGTGGCTTCTGGAAAAGCTGACAGCTGTGTGCTGCGTGTCTGTCTGTGTCCGCCCCTGCAGGCAGCCTGCCCTACGAGTACAAGATCGTGATCGCAGGCAACCACGAGCTGACCTTTGACCAGGAGTTCATGGCCGACCTCATCAAGCAGGACTTTTACTACTTCCCATCTGTGTCGAAGCTGAAGCCGGAGAACTATGAGAACGTGCAGTCGCTGCTGACCAACTGCATCTACCTTCAGGACTCGGAGGTCACCGTGCGGGGCTTCCGGATCTATGGCTCCCCGTGGTGAGTGGGCCTGGGCACTGGTCCTGCCTGCTGGCAAGACCAGAGCTGAGGCTGAGTGCAAGGGCTGTAGGGGATGGGAGAAGCAGCAGGGAGCTCCGCATGCGAGGCTCAGGACTGAATCTTGCCCCCTCACCCTCTGTGTGAACCTAGGCAGGTGACTGCTGCTCTCTGGGCCTCTCTTCCCCCATATCTCACTGAAAATAGTATGATCAGCTGTATCCTGTGTTATGCTGTGCACGATACTAGCTCACTTACAGGCAGGTACTATTATCTGCATTTCACAGGTGAGAAAACTGAGGCCCAGAGTGGGCGAGGACCTTGCCGAAGGTCACACAGCTAGGAAGGGGCAGAGCTGGGATTAAACCGGAGCGATTTGGTTCCAGAACCCCTGCCTTTAATGAATGTTCTGTAATGCTAGGAATCTTTCCCTGATGCTGTCTTCCTGCTCCACACAAAAAAGATGCATATGTCAGGGGCTGGGCGAGATGATGATGGTAATAATGATGATATTGGTGGTGATGGTGATGATGGTGATGCTGATGGTATAGTGATGATGATGGTGATAATCATGGGGATGGTGGTGACGGTGATGATGATGGTGGTGGTGATGGTGGTGGTGGTGATGATGGTGTGATGATGATGGTTGATGATGATGGTGATGCTGATGCTGATGGTGATGATGGTGGTGATGATGGTATGGTGATGATGTGATGATGGTAATGAGGAGGATGATGGTGGTGATGATGGTGATGGTGGCAATGGTGATGGCAGTGAGAATGACAATGGGGATGATGGTAATGATGCTGGTGTGATGATGATGGTGAGGGTAGTGATGGTGATAATGGTAATGGTGGTGATGATGATGGTGGTGTGATGATGATGGTGAGGGTAGTGATGGTGATGGTGAGGGTAGTGATGGTGATAATGGTAATGGTGGTGATGATGATGGTGGTGTGATGATGATGGTGAGGGTAGTGATGGTGATAATGGTAATGGTGGTGATGATGATGGTGGTGTGATGATGATGGTGAGGGTAGTGATGGTAATAATGGTAATGGTGGTGATGATGATGGTGGTGTGATGATGATGGTGAGGGTAGTGATGGTGATAATGGTAATGGTGGTGATGATGATGGTGGTGTGATGATGATGGTGAGGGTAGTGATGGTGATAATGGTAATGGTGGTGATGATGATGGTGGTGGTGTGATGATGGTGAGGGTGGTGATGGTGATGATGGTGATAATGGTGGTGTTGGTGATGTTGATGGTATGGTGATGGTGATGATGATGATGGTGGTGTGATGATGGTGAGGGTGGATAATGGTAATGGTGGTGATGATGATGGTGGTGTGATGATGATGGTGAGGGTAGTGATGGTGATAATGGTAATGGTGGTGATGATGATGGTGGTGGTGTGATGATGGTGAGGGTGGTGATGGTGATGATGGTGATAATGGTGGTGTTGGTGATGTTGATGGTATGGTGATGGTGATGATGATGATGGTGGTGTGATGATGGTGAGGGTGGTGATGGTGATGATGGTGATAATGGTGGTGTTGGTGATGATGGTATCATGATGGTAATGGTGATGATGATGATGGTGACTGATGATGGAGAAGGCAATGGTGATGATGATAATGGTGATGGCAGGAAATAATTTCCGAGCAATTACAGTAATCTATGCCCTAGGCTAAAGGCTCCATAAACCTTATCTCTAATCCTTACTCAGCCCTGTGAGGATTGATTTATTATCCCTATTCTATAGGTGGACAGAATGATGGCCAAAGGGTGTCCAGTGCTGGCAGGGTGAGATGGGCTTCATACATGGAAGGGCAAGATCATATATGCTTAAAAGTGTGGCTTGATCCTGGAAGGCTCCCTGGAGGGTGTGGAGTGACCTGAGCCTTGAGGGAAGAGAAAGGCATTCACAGGCAGGGGGAGTAACGTGGTCTGAGTCTGCACTATCAGGAAGCAGCACAGTCAGTGAGGCTAAGGAGCCCTTTAGAGGCACAAAGGGCCTGCCTGGGTGGAGAGACTTCAGAGAGAGCTACTGCCAGCACAGAGCATCTGGGAAACCCCTGGGCTGCCCTGGTTGGTGGCTGGAGGCTGTAGGCAGATTTAGGACCTGGTCTCATCTTGCCATGGCCTTCTCATGGAGCAGAGGGGAGGGCTGAGAGGTTCAGGGCTGTTTCCTCTTCCCTGGCCTTGGCAGGTGCTTGCTGTCATCTCCTTGGACCTTACGATGTACAGGTTCTTGGTGAATCCTCCCTGCAGACAGTGAGGTCCCAGACAAGGACCTTTGGGCACTCAAGGATGTGATGAGGTCAGTGCCAAGGACAAGGAGAGGAGGGGAGATGGTTGAGTCTGCCTGACAGGCCACTAGAGCTCAGATCTGGAGAAGTCTGATAGGCTGAAGACCAGGAGGGCAGTCTAGGAGGAGGACCGGCAAGCAACAGCCTGGGGGTGAGCCAGGCACGATGGAAAGTCTGGAGTGTCAGGTGTGTGCGGGCAGGTGGGCAGGTAGGGGTCAGTGTGGTGAGAGGCGGAGGCCCGCAGTCCCTGGGAATCTGGACTGATCTCTTTGCCCAATGGTTTGTACTTGTCTCCTCAGCAAACTGCTTTTTTGTTTAAGTTAGATTTTGTAGAGTTTAAGAGCATGGCTCTGGAGCCCAACTGTTTGGGCTCAAATCTTGGCCTCACCTTTTTTTTTTTTTTTTTTTTTTTTTTTGAGATGGAGTCTCGCTCTGTCGCCCAGGCTGGAGTGCACTGGTGTGATCTTGGTTCACTGCAACCTCCACCTCCTGGGTTCAAGCAATTCTCTGCCTTAGCCTCCCGAGTAGCTGGGCTTACAGGAGCCTGCCACCATGACCGGCTAATTTTTGTATTTTTAGTAGAGATGGGGTTTCACCATGTTGGCCAGGCTGGTTTCGAACTCCTGACCTCTGGTGATCTGTCCAACTCAGCCTCCCGAAGTGCTGGGATTACAGGTGTGAGCCTTTGTGCCTAGCCAGACTCATCTTTTACTAGTTGTGTGATGCTGGGTGAGTCACTTAACCTCTCTGTGCCTCAGTTTCCTCCTCTGCAAAATGGGAGTGAGAGTGTGGCTCCTCCAGAGGGTGGCTGTAACGCTGCCAGGAGGGTTCGGCTGAGCCTGGTGCCACTACAGAGACCTCATTCTTGTTGTTTGCTGCAGAGCTTACCCTTCCAGCACAGCTTTGCCCGGCACCCAGTGTGTTGGGTGGAGGATGGTGGGGGAGGAGGGCTGCCAGGCATCACTCAGGGTGTTGCCCACTCCCCCACACAGCGCAACTCTGTGCATCCCACAGCTGGGCTCCGAAGAGCCCCTTTGACCACTGGCTCCCTGGGCTCAGGAGCGAACTAAAGGCCAGGAGTAGGCCCTGCCCTTGGCCGTCTGCCAGCCGAGGCCAAGTCCTGGCACTGCTGTGGTCGTGGGCCTGAGGACCAAGTGAGACCGGCCTGTGGTCCTGCTGTGGTCCAGCTGCTCTGAGTTCCAGGCACCAGTGGCTCCCAGTTTTGCTTCTGTGTCTTCCAGTGTGAGCAGTTCTGGGCTCCCCCATTCCTGGTTACCCCCAGGGTCTGAGCACAAGCAGGCGGTGTCATTTCTTTCTCCCTGACCCCCTACCCGCTGGGTGCACACACACAGCCTGTGCCATGCTAGGGAGTGGGAGAAGCCGAAGGACAGACAAGGGAACGCGAGCCCAGGAGATGGGTTCAGGGGCCATGTGACCCTGCCCCAGAAAGGGTTTGGTGAGATCCAGGAGGACTCCCTGTTGGAGAGAGCATTTGAACTGGGGCCAGAAGAGGCATGAGATTTCCACAGGCAGAGGAGGCAGGGGAAGACCCACATGTCTGAACCTCTGTTATGTGCCAGGCTCTGTGCCAGGCTCTTGGGTCGTGTCGCTTGACAACCGTTAACACTGAGGGCTGAACACCCCCTCCTCTCCGTCCCACAAGGGAGGCTGTGAGCTGGTGCTCCTCCTGTTCCTCTCAGGCCCTGTCTGGGGCTGGGAGCAGGTGGTGGAGGTGAGGCCTGGGCTCATTTGCTGGCAAGTTTCACTCAGTTTCCAACTGGTGTGAGCAGATTGCCGGTGTCCGCCGCTGTGGTGCCACGGAATGGACGCCGGGCCACTCTGGCCTCTACCCTCCCCTGGGAGGCTGGGTCCTGCCACCATGCCCCAGCAGAGAGTGTCTGGGAAACCCCTGCGCTGCCCTGGTTGGTGCCACATGGTGACCACCTGGTGGCTGGAGGCTGTGGGCGGATTTAGGACCTGGTCTCATCTTGCCACAGCCTCCTCATGGAGCAGAGGGGAAGGTGGGGAGGTGCAGGACGGTCCCATCTTCCCTGTCCTCGGCAGGTGCCTACTGTCATCTCTCTGAACCTCATGATGTATACAGTCTCAATGAACCTTCCCTGCAACCAGTGAGGTCCCAGACAAGGGCCTTTGAGTACTGGAGGCTGTTCAAATTGGGACACCACCACTTTTCAGCTGGGTGACTTTGGGCAGGTGGCTCAGCTTCTCTGGTCCTTCTGTGTAGTGGGGAAACGACAGTGCCTGCCTTGTTGGGGGGTTGTGAGGGCTGCGTGGGCCCATCCAGGTGAAGGCCTGGCTCAAAGGAAGGCTCTGGAGAGTGGCTGCGGTCATTTATTACTACTGGGGTGCTCCTTGGGGAGCCAGGAAGAGAATAACCATTTAGTTTTATTCCACAAACTCCAAGGCAGGGCTAGGCCTGCAATTGCCCCATTTTACAGAAGGGCAGGTAGAGGACCAGGCAGGGATGTGGCTTGCCCAGGGCACCTGGGGTGTGACGCTTCATGCTCCCGGTCCTAGCTCTTCCTGCTCCAGGGCGGAGGCCATTCAGTGGCCTTTCTGAACGCCTCCCGTGTGGCAGGTCTCCATCCTCAGAACAGCCTTTGGGTGCACATGGGCCCTTTCGGCCCCCTGAGGAGACTGAGGCCTGGGGATCGAGCCGATGTCCTC